GATATTTGACAGTGAGACCGAGTCTTTCGGGCACGCCTTATTAATGTCTTTATAGTCTACACACATGCAAAATTTATTGTTCTTCTTCGGAACTACTACTACATTGGCTAGCCAGTCCGGATATCTTACCTCTCGGATCGAACCGATGTTAAGCAAGCAGGTTATCTCTTCTTTGACGAATGTATTCCTGGCCTCAGCAATAGGGCGTTTCTTTTGTCTTACTGGAGGTACGTTGGGATCCAAACTCAGCTTGTGCACGGCTACTTCCGTCGGGATACATGTCATATCCTCGTGCGACCATGCAAAACAATCGGTATTAAATTTAAGGAATTCAATAAAACCATACCTGAGCTCCGGGTGCAGTCATGTCCCCAAATGGAATTTTCTTTCTAGGAATTCTTCGAACAATGCAACTTGCTCCAGTTCCTCCATCGTGGACTTCGTTGTGTCCGTCTCTTATGGAACTTGGAAATATCTCGGCACCTAATAATGTTCTGGCAACTCTGCTCCCGAGCTAACTTCTTCTAGCTCGGGAATAGGTGTAGGTTCCTGTAATTGCTATGCCGTGTTCTCCTTCCCTTTGCTACTGGAAACAGAAATTGCATTCATCTCTTTTGTTGCCGGTTGATCACCTCTTATCTGCTTGATTCCTTCGGGCGTTGGAAACTTCAGCAATTGGTGATATGTTGAGGGTACAGCTTCCATCTCGTGTAACCATGGCCTTCCTAGGATGATATTGTATCCCATGTCACCGTCTAATACTTCGAAAAGAGTTGTTTTCATTACTCCTTCAGCATTCGTGAGCAGCAAAATCTTTCTTCTGGTCGTTACGCTCGCAAGGTTGAATCTAGCGAGGAGCTTTGTTGCCGGAATAATGCTTCAGGTAAGTTTAGCTTGCTCCAATACTCTCCATTGTATGATATTAGCCAAACTTCCTAGATCCACTAGAACACGCTTAATCTTAAAATCCAACACATTTAAAGAAATTACCAGTGCATCGTTGTGTGCTAACAGCAATCCGTCTGTGTCCACCTCCGTGAAAGTGATATAGTCTTCCCGGAGTCTTTTACTATAAGTTATTGATACTTTTGTCTTCTTCGCTGCCGAAAAGGTGACCCCGTTAATCTCATTCCCTCCGTAGATCATATTGATCGTTTGGTGTGAGGGTTCTTCTCTAGCTTTTGAAGGTTCCACGTTATCTCTGTTAAGACCATAATTGTTCTTAACTCGGTCACTCAAGAATCCTTCGAGGTGACCATTATTCAATAGTGTTTCCACCTCTTCCCGGAGGTGTCGGCGATCCCCTATTCGGTGGCCATTCGTCCCATGGTATTCACACCATAAGTTGGGATCCATCTGGCTAGAATCGGATCTCATAGGTCTCGGGAATCGCGCTTCTTTGATGTTTCTCATGGCTGACACCAACTCCATTATACTGACGTTGAAGTTATATTCCGATAACTTGGGGTAAGAAGGATACCGAGACCCCGATGTCTCTTTATCCTGAAGTGATCTGTTGTTTTGACCACGATCGGTCCCTCTATCAACGGTGAACTTGTTTGTTGCCTAGAAGTTTTTTCCACGGCCTTCGGTCCGCTCGTAAGGCAAAAACCGACCCCTTGAAGTCCATTTGTCTGCATCGTAGTCATCCTTTGATTTTTATCTACTCTTCTTCCGTCCCTTGGCCGATGATGTAGAACCGACCTGGTCATCTTCGATCCTTATCTTTGACTCGTACCGGTTGTGGACATCTGCCCAAGTTGTTGCTTGAAACTCAAGCAGGCTCTCCTTCAGTTTTCGGGAAGCGTCTGAGCTTCTCGGATTCAATCCTTTGGTGAATGTTTCAGCTACCTATTCATCCGGGACAGCCGAGTGCAACATTCTTTCTTTCTGGAATCGGGTAACGAACTCTCGTAATAATTCGGGTTCTCCCTGTGTGTTCCTGAATATGTCGGCCTTTCGGGCTTGTACTTTTCTAGGCCCGGCATAAGCATTGATGAAAGAATCCGCGAGCATCTCAAAGGAATCTATGGAATGCTCGGGTAATAATGAATACCACGTTAGATCTCCCCTCATGAGAGTTTCTCCAAATTTCTTCAACAACACACATTCAATTTCGTGAGGAGCTAAATCATTTCCTTTTATCGCCGTTATGTAGGTAGTAATATGCTCCTGTGGGTTTGAAGTCCCGTCATACTTTGGCATTTCAGGTATTTTGAACCGCTTTGGGACTAGTTCTGGTGTCGCACTCGGCTTGTACGGCAATTAAGTATACTTCTTCAAGTCTGGGCCTCAATACTGGTGATGTGCCTGGGATCTGTTCCATGTGGGTGTTTACTTCCCTCATAAACTGTAAAAGTTCATTCTTGAACGGGTCGTTCTCGTTGTTGAGATTGGGTCTGTTCCCCCAGCCCCGTCAGAGCCAACTTCACCTCTGGGAGTGTTGTTGTCGACTCTCTGCGTTGTTTGGTTTGCGGGAACACCGGGAGGAATTGGATCTCGTCTGTTTGCATTATTTGAAGCCCCCGATAGCGCCTGCTTCAGCTCCGTCATAACCTTATCCTGCCACGTGGGATGAACTAGAATGATTGTCGGTTGCTCTTGCAGGACCCTCACCGCATCCACGACATGTTCCTCATCAGCATCATCGGGAGTTGTCTCCTGAACCTATCGAGGGTTCTGCCTGTCATGCACCGGGTGGCATCATTTCCCTCATTGCGGGTGTCACTAATTGAATCCTCGAAATGAGGTTGATCCCCTCAAATTTCAGGGTTGAACATGTTGTTAATAGAGTTATCTGCCATTTTGTGATTTTTTCTAAGACAAAACAATCAAATCACGCTAGTAAAAAAGACAAGGATCAATTTAATTGCACGGTTCTCTAGGTCCCACGGTGGGTGCCAAACTGTTTACCCGTAAAACAGTACAGTTGAATTTATACGTGGTTTCTAGATGACAATATCTTTCCTTCTCAATAGATGAAACAACAGAGATGACGATATCTTTCCTTCTCAATATTGTGGTGCAAGTGACGTTTCAAACTCTCAAGGACTTGAAAAAAAAACATCAAATGATAATCATAAAGTCGATTCAACCTTCTAGCAATTGTTTCGAGCCATGAACTGTGAAAATTACCTAAGTTAAAATATCACTCTGATTAATTACATAAGTAGTTTATTTGCATCCAATTTACTATTGAAGAAGAAAAGTAAATTTTAAATTAATTAGATAAGTCGTAATTGACAATACATCAACCTTTATAGATGAATACAAAGAACAGAGAATGTAATTCTTGTTGGAAGTAAGAATTTTGAACTAAAAAAAGTTCTCCATATCTCCTATCCTGCTAGAATTTTCCAGTCCGATTTCCAGTAACCGCGCCTTACCCTGTTTCCATGTGTAGGGACGGCACCACATAATGGTTGTGTGTACACGGCATACACACACCACTAGATACGGACATTTGATAGGGGAGAAAACATACTTGTTGCATAGTTGCATAACGTTAAAAGTGTGTCTCAACGTACCATTCCCGAATGCACTAATGAGAAATTTTCTTTAAACATGTAGTTAAGAGTAATAATGATGCAGTTAAGAGTAAGGTTTGTAGTGAAAATATCACTGACGCAAATTCTTAAGACATTTTTACAGAGCAGAAAACCCATGCTCGATATTGGCATGTGTACCTAAAAGTAAATGGCTTAAGCTCACGAGTGCAAACATGGAATGGAAAAAGGAAAGATTTGGTGCATGCCACACTCAAAGCTGATTATATATCAAATTGCCCGTGATTCACTGGATCAAACTACAAATGCAACAGAAACCAACTTCTGATGGCATTTCGAAGATACAAGTTAAATCAGGGGTATGTTCATTCGAATCATCACAACCAATAGGCAACCCAATTTCTTTCTCCAGATATTCAATTGCATGAAGCTGAAAATAAGTGAACAAGGAAACAATACCAAGATGAACAGAATAGAGCTCTATTAAATTCACAGCTGAAACTAAACACACCAGAAATCAACTTAGAGTGCATTTGAAACCAAAAGGGAGAAATTACTTCTACCAAAGGTAATGGAAGGTGGATGAATCCAGCTTAGAAGTACACCCACTGCCTCAAACTTCAATACGATATATTACTACTCAAACTAAATTAAGTTTTACTAATATGAATCCTTCGCGTTCATTCTGCTACATCTGGACTCCTTTCATTAACTACTCAATAATCTGTCCTTGGATTTCTAAAATTCGGGATTCTCTAAGTATCCCATGTATCCTCCATCGTCCAATCTATAACCAAGTTTAAAACACTCCTGATAAATACCAGGGCCTAATGTAAGTGTGCCAATAACAATTAACCTTAATCCAAGTTAGTTCCTTTTGACAACAAGGATACTTTGATTACTGTTCCATACTTACAAAGCATAGCCTGTTTGGCCAAACTTCTAAAATTAGTTTATTTTGAGAAGTGTTTTTTTCAAAAGTACTTTTCAAAAAATTATTTTTGATGAGAAGCAGTTTGTGTTTGGCTAATTAATTTGAAAATCACTTTTGAACAGTAATTAATTTTTGACCAAGCTTTTGAAAACTACTTTTAAGTGTATTTTTCTCAAAAGTATTTATCAGAAAAGTATTTTTGGAGAGTGCTATTTTTTTCTGTTTCTCAAAAACTGCTGGTTCTCAAAAAAGGCACTTTTTTCTATCTAAAAGTTTTGGCCAGACAATTTATTTTTGGCCAAAAGTACTTTTGACCAAAAAAAAAAAAACTTGGCCAAACAAACTATTAATGTGTATGGATTGAAAGAAATTGTTCCATGTAACTTTAAGACTACATGTATTAATAATATACATGTATTTATGCATCAAAACTTCTAGAGATGACTGTATATAGTATACATTAACATGTGTATCCACAGTCCACTATACAGATTCCTTTCTACAGTCGCATGCTAATCAATAGAAAATCCATACACTCCCAGATTATACGCAGAGACAAATTTTACAGAGCTGAATATCCAAATGCATTACTAAATGAATCTTAATCATTCCACTTAAGTAAAAAACATTATCCCATTCCAATGGTTTCAGTACTGAAACCTGCTGAAATAACAACTGGCCAGAAAATTAAAACTACAATATACCGAAGAACATATCCCAAAGTATAAAATACGCTCATCCAAAGCACAAGAGAAGGCTCCTTAACCTCAATTACTGTAAACATTTAAAACGAAATTAAGAGTTTTCTAGACTTACAAACCATCTCACTCGGAACGATTAGCATACCTCTCCACCTTATCATCAAGATTAATTCCAACCATAGCCTCACCAAGCCCACAGCTAATTTCAGCCAGCAGTCCTGGGTCACTGTAATGAGTCACGGCTTGCACGATAGCGCGTCCCCTTTTGGCAGGGTCACCACTCTTGAAAATTCCAGAACCCACGAACACTCCGTCACATCCCAACTGCATCATAAGCGCTGCGTCTGCTGGTGTTGCCACCCCACCTGCTGCAAAGTGGACCACAGGGAGCCTTCCGAGCTGTTTTGTTTGCATCACCAGATCGTACGGTGCCTGAAGTTTCTTAGCAAAAGTGAAAACCTCATCATCATCCATGTTTCGCAGCACCCTGATATCACCCATCACGGAACGCACGTGACGGACGGCCTCAATGATGTTTCCGGTACCGGCTTCCCCCTTGGTGCGTATCATGGCGGCGCCCTCCCTGATACGGCGGAGGGCTTCGCCGAGGTTACGGCATCCACAGACAAAAGGGATGCGGAAATTGTGCTTGTTGATGTGGTTCTCATCGTCGGCGAGAGTGAGGACTTCTGATTCGTCCACGTAATCGATTCCGATAGCCTCGAGGATTTGTGCCTCGACGAAGTGACCGATACGGGCCTTGGCCATAACGGGGATGGTTACGGCCTGTTTGATTTCTTTGATAAGCTGGGGATCCGACATGCGGGCTACACCGCCCTGAGCGCGTATAT